GCGTCCGATGACTCAGACGGCGGTACACGACAGCGACACCGACGTGGGGAAGCCGAATGGGGCTGACACCCGGAAAAGGTGGCCGATCCAAAGGGGGACAGGCGACGGGGTACCCGTGCAGGCCCAAGGATGTAATCGGGTAGGGGAGTAACGGCAACGCCACTGCAGGCAAAAGCAAGGCTCCTGCTTAACGCTTGGAGCGAGGGGGAGGGCGGCTAGGCCGCGAGAGATCCTGGGAAGGGGGCCGCTTCGGCGAGGTGGCAGACCCCGCAGCACCCGCTGCTCCAGGATGGGAGATCCTGGTTGGGAGATGGACCAGAAAAAAGCCGAGCTGATCGTCGGGGGGGGGGAGCAAACAAAAAAAGGAAAACAAAAAAAACGGGGTCCAGCATGGGCTCCTCGCCGTCGCCCGCGAGTGGACCGTTAGCTATGGCCCCAATCCTTCCAGAGAATCGCGGCCTGAGCGGCGCGAGAAGCGCCGTCCGCAGGCACAGCGGAAACGCGCTCAAGGAGACTCTCGCGCAAGGCGCGGTCGCTCGCGCTCACGGGACGAGCGCCCCCAGGCCCAGCGGGGGCCCACTGCTTGGCGGGCGGAGCCATGTCGGGGCCGCCACGGAGCCCGACAGAACGCGCCCTGGCCGTGGTTGGGGGAGCTGGGAGAGGTGATGGGCCTGTTTTCCACAATCACCACTACCATAAGTTGGAGGGGGGAGGCGGTCCTCCTCCCCCTCTTCTTCTTCCTCCTCCTCCTCCTCACCCTCCACCTCCTTCCCCCCTCCAACTTATGGTGGTGGTGGTGGTGGAAAACAGGCCCATCAAGAGGGGCCGGCCCCGATGTCGCCCCCAGCGTGGGGAAATCCACGACGCCTGGAAGCAAGCGACTGGGACGGACGCGGCTCACCTGGGGCGGCGCCAGGCAGGGGGGGACCGGCGCTTCGCCTGGGCTCCCTCGCGCATAGGCCGGAAGGGCGGCCCTCTTGTGATGGGATGCACAAAAACGTACTAGTACTACATGTTATCCTTGGAGGCGCGCGTCCGACCTGGACATATAGTATACCCATCTTGTAGTATATCGTTTCCACAGCGGGGTGGCCAGAAGGCGCCCGCCACGACGCATATACTATAAGATTTCTCGGTGCGCGCATCGCCCCAGGGGGGGCGACGCACATATAGTATAAGTATGTAGGGGTGGCGAGGGCTTCCAGCTGGAGCCAGGCGCGCGCGGGCCCCGATTCCTCGGGGAAGGATCCACCGGAGACGCGGGCCGCCGCGCGCGGCGCCCCCTGGCGGCAGGAAAGCCGAAGCCGCCGAGGGTGCCTTGGCAGTGGCGCCTGCCGGCGTCCGTTCGCAGGGCCGAGAAGGGCCGCGGGGCTGGAGGCGGGCGCGTGACCTCCAGGGGGGCTGTCGGCGGCGGCAGTGAGGGGGCCAGGGTGCTGGCGGGCCAGGTCCAGGTCCGCCGTCTGGAAGGGTTGCAAACCGCCTCTGGCGGCGTGGCGGACGAGGCCTCTGCGGTGGACGGGCGTGGCGCTCCTCGTCGGCACGGCACCGATGAGGGACGGGAAGTGCTGGGAGACAGGCGGTGCGGCAAGTGCGGTGCGGCGGGGGCGTCACCTCCCCGAATCACGCGCCGCGGCGGGGTGGCGGCACGGGTCCCCCCCCCCGCGCGGGGCGGGAAAGGCCGAGGCGGGGCTGGGGACAGCGGCGCCCCACATGGGGGCACGCCGACCGCCACAGGGATGCGCCTTGACGAGCACCTGGAGTAAGCTCACGCTGCCCGGTGACCGTGCTAGTCCACCAGCGGTCGAGCTAGCGGCTCTCGAAGCCGTCGACGACAGCCTCCACAAACGCAGGCGGGTTGAGCCTGCGGTCAAGATGGGGAGCGAGAGCCCCAGCTGGAGCGGCGACACGCGCGCCAAGAGTCCAGCCGGCCAGCGCGGGCCAGAGCGGCGGCGAGGCGCGCGAGCAGCTCGGGGGCCGGGGTTCATGGCCGCGAAGGGGCCCAGCAGTGAGTCGGAATGGTCTGGGCCGCGTGCGCGCCTCCCTTGGCCGTGTAGCCGCATGCGCGCCCATGGAGAATAGTGAGAAGAGTTGGCTGGGACCGGGCGTCGGGTCGGCCTGTTTCGCCTGGTGGCGCTCGGCGACTCCCGCCGCACGGCGGCCTGCACGTGGACGAAGTGCTCTGCGGGGCGTGCCCTGTCCTGGTGGTGCGGCAGCTCGGGAATGGGGACGCCGGCGAGCTGCTCGACGGGCTCCGCGGGGCCAACAGAGGGGGCCGGAGGACTCGGCCTGCGAACTGCGGGCTCGTCGCGCTGCGCCTCCAAGCTGGGCGAGCTCGCCAGTGGAGCGTGGGGGCGCGGCCTCCTCCGCGCTCTGGTCGGGAGGGCGGCGTGGCGGTTCCCCGACCTCCGCCCCCCCCCTCGGAAACCCCCCCTGAGGAGGGGTGGGGGGGGTGCATGGTCTTCCCTGGCCCAGGGGGGAGAGGGCAGTGTCTGGGGCGCCAGAGTAGAAAACAACACTATCATTGAAAACCCGAATGGACATTCCCTGAAAGCCCCCCTCGGAAGAGCTTTTGCCCCCAAAAGAAGACGGACTTTCCCCTCTCAGGTGTGGGTTTTGGGAAGGTCAGGGACGGTTCCCTCCAGATACCCCCCTCAAGGGGAGTCTTTGGGGAGTTGAACATGGTTTTCCTGGCTAGCCTCAAGAAACTCCAGTTCGGGAACCCCTCCGTGGAAAACCCAGCCTCACCCCCTCCTGAGGGGGGGTCATTGTTTGCTTCCCCCTGGAGCCCCCGGGAGCGGATCTGGCCGTGGCCCCAACCAGGAGAGGAGCAGCAGCAGCAGCAGGAGCGGCGGCGGAGAGCAGGCGGAGGAAGGGGAAGAGGGGTAGGGCCTGCATTCAAAACCCGGGCAGCTCAGCGTGCTCAAGCGCGACTTTCTCCCCCGGCCGCTGAAGACCAAGAGTTGCTCCCCTTGTGCCATCCTCGCCTAGATGTCCACATATTTAAAGGGGCCCAGGGACACACAAACAAATACACACAAATCCCAGGAGTCCCCATAATCTCCCATACCTTCTGGGTTTTTGTCTTCTCCCCCACTTCCCATAGTTTCCTATATTTTCATGGAAATCGACGATGAATGGTGTGTCTGTGTGCACTGTCCCTCCTGAAGTCACCGCATGTCTGAAAACTCCAGCTGCTGAGCGCACGGAGTCTTACACTGCCTGCCAGGTTCCACACAGAGACCCTGGTCCCAGGCCGCGAGACAGACACGCGTGTGGCAGGAGGAGGAAAGAGAGGAGGAGAAGGAGGAGAAGGAGGAGGAGAGGAGAGGGGACGGCCACACGAGCTGTCCGGCAATATCCAGGTTTGATCTCAAGTCGTTCGTTGAATGGGTTGTGAGGCATACGTGCGTTGAGCAAGAAAGAGGGGGGAGGAAGTTTCAGGCTCGTGTGCAAAGGACTCCCGGGGAAGCTCCAGGCACGTCAGGGGACCACAGGAGATCCCGCCCCTGGAAGGAGGGAGGTTGAAGGATCAATCGAGGGGAGGGGAAGGGGCTGGGTCTTTGGAAGTTCGATTTGGTTCTGAAGGGCTCAAGGCGAGCTGGTGGCTTTTCGGGGACCCCAGGATCATGAGACAAGAGCGCCGCTGACGGTCAGTGTTTCTCACAGATTCCTGACTTAAGCCGTCGGTGAGGCACGCTCAGGGCATGCACGGGCTCCTGCAGGAGGAGAAGAAAGAGGTGGAGGAGGAAAAGCAGCAGGAGGGGGAGGACCAGAGCAAGCCAAGCACGCACCACTCGTGCTGCCTGGGTCCGGACGAAAAGGGGAGGCAATCCAAGGGGGGTTAACGAACCAGCTCACGTAACTGATTCCCCCGGCGCCTCCCGGCGCCGGAGGCGCTACTGTGTCGAGAAAAGCGCCCGGCTGCAGGGTCGAAACCAGCTGCATGCAGCAGATGTCATACCCCCCGTTCCCTATCCTGCCCCTTCGTCCGACCCGAGTCGCACACCCACCCGCCCCAAGGCCCCCTCCTTCAAAGTCCACACGACGGTTTCTGCTGCTCTACGGCCAGCATCCGGCGAATTGCGGGCCCGTCACACGTTCACCAACCTTGGGAACGCTGGGGTGGTGATACTCTCGTGGCCCCACCAGGAGGGCTGAGACTTGGCAGTGCGGGGGCGCAGGGTACAGTGTTGGTGCGCCTGTGGTGATGTCAACGCTGGCTGCGCTTGCAAGCTAAACGTCTGCACAGGGCCCCTACTGTCTGAAGCGCTTAGCAGATGAACCGTACTGTAGCTCGTACCTCGAGGTAAACACGCTGGTGATCGCGAGAGGGATTCTGTACTCGGCGCACGGTAGTGCCTCACACTCCTCCTCCTCCTCCTCCTCCTCCTCCTCCTCCTCCTCCTCCTCCTCCTCCTCCTCCTCCTCCTTCAACTCCGCCACCTCGTCCTCCAACTCCGCCTCCTCCTCCTCCTCCTCCTCCGCCTTCAACTCCGCCTCCAAGTCCTCAAACTCCGCCTCCTCTTCCTCCTCCTCCTCCTCCTCATCATCATCATCCTCCTCATCCTCCTATTCCTCCTCCTCCTCCTCCTCCTCCTCCAACTCCTCCTCCTCCTCCTCCTCATCATCATCATCATCATCGTCTTCTTATTATTCCAAGTAATATTATTATGTTTCTTCTTATGAGTATTGGTATTATTATTCGTATTCTTAGTATGATTAGTAGTATTGTTTGTCTTAGTCTTACTCTAAATAATATTATTATTCGTCTGATTCTTCATATTATTCGTATCATTATTCTTATTATGCTTCTTATTATTCTTCTTCTTCATCATCATCATCACCATCACCATCACCATCATCAGCATCACCATCATCATCATCATCATCATCATCATCATCATCATCATCATCATCATCATCATCATCATCATCATCATCATCATCATCATAATAATCATCAACATCATCGTCAGCGTAGTCTTCATAATCATCATCTATCATCATCCTCATAATAATCATCATCATCCTCATCATCATCATAATCGAAATCATAGTCAGCATCATCATCAGCATCAGCTTCATTATAATCATGGTCATCATCAGCAGCATCGTCATCATCATCAGCCTCAGCATGATCAATATCAATATCAGTATCAACATCATAATCATCATCAGCATCATCATCGTCATTATCCACCCCCCCCTTAATCATCATCATCATCATCATCATCATCATCACCATCATCAGTTGCAGCAGCAGCATCAACACAAGTATCATCATCATCCTCATCATCAGCATCGTCATAACCATCATCATCACCAACGTCATCGTCATCGTCAGCATCATCTTCATCTTCATCATCATCACCATCATCATCATCATCATCATCGTCGTCGTCATCATCATCATCGTCATCATCGTCATCATCCGCATTATCATCGTCATCCTCATCATCATCGTCATCATTCTCATCCTCATCATCGTCATACTCGCCATTATCAGAATCAGCAGGAGCAGCAGCATCAGCATCAGCATCATCATCATCGTCCTCAACATCCTCAGCAGCCTCATCATCATCCACATCGTCATTATCATCATCAGCATCATCACCATTATCACACTCGTCATTTTCATCGTCATCATCACCATCATCCTCACCATCATCATCACGCTCATCATTCCCATCACCAACACCATCACCATCACCATCATCATCATCATCGTCATTGTCGTCGTCGCCAGCATCATCATCATCAGCAGCATCTTCATTATCAGCAGCACCACCACCGTTCTCGTCATCATCACCACCATCCTAATCACGACCATCACCATCATAATCAGCCGCAGCAGCATCAGCATCAGCATGAGCATCATCATCACCACAATCATCATCAGCAGCAGCATCAGCGTCAGCGTCAGCATCAGCATCAGCATCAGCATCATCATCAACATCATCATTGTCATCATCGTCATCTTCATCATCCTTACCATCATCATCATCGTCATCATCATCATCATCGTCGTCATCATCGTCATCATCATCACGATCAGCAGCAGCAGCATCAGCATCATCATCAGCAGCAGAATCCTCAGCATCCTCATCATCCTCATCATCCTCATCATCATCCTCATCGTCATCATCATCCTCATCATCAGCATCAACATTATCATACTCGTCATCTTCATCGTCATCATCATCAGCAGTATCATCCTCCGCATCCTCATCATCGTCATCGTCCTCATCAGCATCATCAGCAGGTAAAGCAGCATCATCAGCATCAGCATCGGCATCGACATCATCATCAGCATCATCATCACCATCACCATCATCATCATCATCATCATCATCATCATCATCATCATCATCATCATCATCATCATCATCATCATCATCATCATCATCATCATCATCATCATCATCATCATATCACTGTCGTTGATCCTCGACCCTCGAGCTCCGAACCCCGAGACCTGACACCCGCCGCGAGCTCGGGGCGACGCAGGGGCCGCCTGCACGCCGCTCCAGGGGCGCCGTGCACCCTTCAGGCCTCCTCGGGCGTGGGGCGGGCGATGCGGGCTCCGCGCGCCGCCTCTTCTTCCTCCTCCTCCTCCTCCCCCCTCCTCCTCCTCCCCCTCCTCCTCCTCCTCCTCCCCCTCCCTGTCTCCCTCCCTCCCTCCCTCCCTCGGACACCATCGAACGCGCCTGTCCGCCGCCTACATTGGTAGGAAATGGGCCGGTGCCTGGCCGCCGCCAGCGCCAGCGCCTCCAGCTGCGCCTCCTCCCCCTCCGCGTCCTCCACAAGCTTCAGCTGCAGCGCGCGCAGGGCGCGGGGCCCGCCGCCTCGGCCAGCCCAGGGCCTGGACCGAGCAGGCACCGAGTGCGATGAGCGCTCTACACCACCGCCGCCTCCAGGTCGGCGCGCGTCGCGCGGAGGTGCAGCGCCGATGCCCTGCCAGTGCCCAGTCGCAGGTTGCCGTGCTCGCGCTGACGCGGCGCATGGCTGCCAAGGCGTGCAGAGCAGCCGGGCCCAACCTCCCGAACGTTTCGATCGCGAAAGGCGTGACAGCAGGAGCAAGAGCAGGAGGAGCAGGAGCAGGAGGAGACGACAAGGAAGTCCAGAGGCCGTTTCTCAGGTTTGTCGCAGGACGAAGCCCGCTCGAGTGTGCGAGCCGCGGGCTTTGAGCCAAAACGGCTACGGTGGATGGGGAAAGGGGAGGAGGAAGGGAGAGGTCCCAAGATTTCCGAAGGTCCCCAGAAGCTTTCGGAGATCCAAGGAAGCATCTGGAGGCCTCTAGCTACAAAAAGCAAGAGGAGGAGGAGCAGCAGCAGCAGCAGCAGCAGCATAATGAGCAGCAGTGTGAACCTGAGGCACGAAGCATGAGGCGTGAAAATATAAACGATGACGACGACGCGGAAGAGGAGGAGAGGGCGGAGGAGGGGAAGGGTAAGCAAAGGGGAGGAACAGGGAGGCCAGGGGAGAGCAGTGTGACCAGGAGGAGGAAGGGGAGCGGAAGGGAGGGGGGAGGAAGGGAGAGAGTGACGGAGGAGGGAGGAAGAGAAGGAGGAGGAGGAAGAGGAGAAGTAGAGCCGAAGAAGAAGCAGGAGAAGGAGAAGGAGGAGGAGGAGGAGGAGGAGGAGGAGGAGGGGGAGTAGGAGGAGGACGAGGGGAGGGAGCGGGAGGAGAAGTGGGAGGAGGGAGAGGGAATAGGATGGAAAAGGAGCAGCAGCAGCAGCAGAAGGAGGGGAGGAGGAGGAGGAGGAGGAGAAGGAAAAGAGAAGAAGAGGAAGAAGAAGAAGAAGAAGAAGAAGGGGAGTAGCAGGTGGAGGAGGAGGAGGAGGAGGAGGAGGAGGAGGAGGAGGAGGAGGAGGAGGAGGCGGAGGAGAGGAGGAGGAGGAGGAGAAGGAGAGGAGGAGGAGGAGGAGGAGGAGGAGGAGGAGAGGAGGAGGGAGGAGGAGGGGCAGAGGGGGAGGCGGAGGAGGAGGGGAGGGGAGGGAGGGGAGGGGAGGGGGGGGAGGGAGGGGAGCCGAGGGGAGGGGAGGGGAGCCGAGAGGAGGGAGGGTGGGGAAGCGCACGCAGGGGCCCCCGACCCGGGCGGCCGGCGGCCTCCAGGCTGACGGCGGGGACCTCCTGCAGAGGAAGGGGGGCGCCGCCGCTGCGGGGCCGTGCGCGCCCCGGGGCCCTCGCGAGAGGGGGTCCTTTCAAGGGCCCATTCGTCGCGGGGAAGCGTCTCGGGCGTTGCTTACAGGAGTGGCGACTCACTGTGGGGGCGGGAGAAGCGCGCACCTGTCGTGCCCGTTGAGGGCCGAGGGGAGCCCCCTTTGGGGGCCCCAGGGGGGGGCCTTCAGGGCACCTTGAGAGCTCAAGAGGTGCACCACCACCACCACCACCACCCCCATGTATCGCCCCCCCTTACGCAACGCCCGAACGTCACCTGACACCATCGAGATGGTTTGTTCAAGCCGTGAGCTTTTCCTCGGTTCTGGCCCCTGGGGCCCGTTCTTAGGCCCCGGGGCCACCAAAAATGAGTCAAGGGCGAAAAACTGTCTCCTGGGAAGAGGCCGGGACCTCCGGGGCCGTGGATTCAGAACAAATATACAGTATCGGATGTCTGGAATCGGGGGGGCGTCGCCTGACGGGGGCCGCTCGGGACCTCTGTAGACCTTTCCGATCAGGAAGGTATCGCCTGACCGCCTCCCTCCCTGGCACTCTTTCCCACTCATCACCCTTCTCCGCATCCTCTTCCTCCTCTTCCTCCTCATCTTCCTCCTCATCCTTGCACTCCTCCTCCTCCTCCTCCTCCTCCTCCTCCTCCTCCTCCTCCTCCTCCTCCTCCTCCTCCTCCTCCATTTCCTCCTCGTCCTCCTCCGTCCACCGCCTCCCGACAGCGCGTGGATCGTATCATCTTGAGCGACGGTCGCCAGCGCCGCCACACCCAGGGGCCGCTCGACGCCTGCACACCGGCAGTAGAAGAAGAAGAGAAAAAAAAAAAAAAAAAAAAAAAAAAAAAAAAAAATGAACCTGAACTGTCGGGCTCCGCGCAAATCTCTTGGATCGCGATGAAACCTCCGGTGTCGCCCCTTGCTCGCTGGGCGTGCCAGGGCGTGCCCGGGATGTGGTCAGTGTTCACCATGAGCAATTGCCTGAAGAGCAAGCAAAGTATCAATGCCACGTTGGTCGGGCGACCGGGACTCCATAAGCGTGCCACCGTTGAACGAGTAGCAGGCTGCTGTGCACGAGGTGAATGGTCGGCGGCGAGCCCGGGGGGAAGCGGGAAGGGGCGGGCCTTCTCAGAAGGCTCGGAAGTCCCCCAGGCCTTCTGAGAAGTCTGCTGAGCCCTCCCCGAAGACACCGACGACTTCTCAAAAAAAAGGCGCGAGGGATTCTGAGAAGTCCCGCCGCCTTCCGTGAAGGCCTTCTCCGAACCCAGAGTGCAGTCAACACCCCTAGTAAGAATGCAAGGGTGCAGGAGGAGGAGGAGGAGGAGGAGGAGGAGGAGGGCCTTCTCCTTCTCATTTCCCCCCCTCGCTCTCGCTCGCCGCCGACATGGGCAATTAGCACACACACACACACACACACCATCTCGAAAGACGGCGCGCGTGTCGGGAAAGCCTCTCGCCACTCGTCGGCCTCCAGGGGGGGGAGGCACCCCTCCGACCGAGCCGTGGGGCCGCCCCGGCAGAACGGTTGATCCGGTGCGCACATCGGCGGGAGCTGGCGGCCCGCAGAGGGGGGTTAGGGAGAGGGGGGGAGGCTTCTTAGAAGGAAGCTGCTTCTTAGAAGGCGCCGCCCTTTACATCTACAGAGAAGGCCCGCGCCTTCTGAGAAGCAGGGGTGCTTCGAAGAAGCCTCCCCCCCTCCCCCCTCCCCCCCTCTGCGCGCCGGCACGGGTGGAGGCCAGCTGACGCCCCCACCGATCATGGCCAGGCCGGTCTCATGGGCCCAGGATCGGTGCACACTGGGAGGCACAGAGACATCCTGGTACTACATGTCCTCCTCGGAGGCGCGCGTCCGACCCGAGCAGACAGCATGCCCATCTTGTAGCATATCGTTTCCCGAGCGGTGTGGCCAGAGAGCGCCCGCCACGACGCATGTACTAGAAGATTTCTCGGTGTGCACTCCGCCCCTGGGGGGCGACGCGCATACAGCAGAAGTATGTTGGGGTGCCGCCGACACATGCTTGAAGGGACAAATAACAGGATTCCCCATATTTTCCCATATGTTCTGAGTGTTCGTCTTCCCCCCCACTTCCCATATTTTCCCATATTTTCCTGGGAGTCGACGACTAATTGTGTCTGTGTTTTTCCCCTCCTGAGTGCTTCCCTGGTCAAAACACGCGGGCGCACACCCCGATCCCCAGCCCCAAGGTGGGCCCCCAGCCAGGTGAGGCGGTCAGCGGACGTCCCCCCGAGACTGGCCCTCGGGAAGGAGGAGTCGCTCGGAATCTCCAGAGGGGGGCCCACCGCTGCGACGATTTGCACGCCTGGGATTATGCTGCTCCCATCGAACTTAAGGACCACATTCCAGAAATAATTTAGAGCACCCGGAAAAGTGTCGAAAGAGTGTCGAAACAGTGTCGCAACAGTGTCGGACGAGTGTCTCCCAGGGCCCGGCACGTGAAAACCCTCGAGTTTCTTGGAACAAGATTCGCTGTCCTTCGGGGTCCATCGGACCAAAGATCTTGTCGTATTGACCGCAAGTCCGACCCGTTCGACAACACGCGCTATACAATTGGACAACAACTGGAGATCAGCAGATGAACCCGATGACGCGATTGATTGACGGACCTCCGTCCCCACTCTGGGCGCGCAGAGATTGAGACACGACGTCACAGGTCAAGGTTGGACGGCGGCGGCGCCAGCGGGGGTTTGCGGGGGGGGCCTCGAGCCCCATCTTGGCCCGCTCCGCCGCGGCCCACGCCATCCGCCTGCGCGCGCGCTGGGGGGGTGGAGCGGCCCTCTCTGGGACGACATACGCCCGGCTCAGGACACGTCCCAGGAATTCTGGAGAATCTGGCGGACGTCGCTCCTGCAACCTAGTCGGCACGTTGGGAAACCTGGGAAATCCTGGGCAACTCTTGGAACGTGTCGTCACAGTGGCATCTCGATCCTCTGACTCTCCCCTCCTGGTAGGAGGGCACCAACTATACACCTACACTTAAGTCGGGCCTGTCCCCCTACAGGCCGATTTCAGACGAAAAGTCGGAAATAGTCCAAAAATACCCTAAGATATTCCAAAATGGTAAAAAATCGTCCCCTGACTATTTTTTGACTATTTTTGAATTTTCCTCCTGTACAGGGGCAGACCCAGCTTAAGCCTGCACCGATCCCGTCCGGGCTAGGAAACACCGCTCCACGCAGCGGCCAGCACCGTGGTCAGATGATCACACCGCAGTCAGAAGCGCGAAACCAGGAAATCCAGAGGTGAGGGGCGCGAGGAAGAGGAGGGAGAGCGGAGGAGAAGGAAGGGGAGCGGAGAAGGAACGAACACAAAATGCTGCAGAGGATCTGCCCTCGGGTGGGCCCGCTGCTCCCGTGGCACGCGCCCTGGTGAACGGATGGCGTCTGAGTGAGGCCCCTCGCGCGCGTGCGTGTGTGTGCGCGTGCGGTGTGCGTGAAAATGTGTCTGTGTCTGCGTTTGCTTGTGTTGTGCTGTCTGGTGTTGTGTTGTGTTATCTGGTGTTGTGCTGTGGTAGGTTGGGCGGTCTCGTCGTGTGCATGCGTGTGTTGTGGGTGGATGTGTGCGCGTGTGCTGTGAATGTGGATGTGCGTGTGTGGATGTGTCATGTGTGTACTGTGTGTGGTGTATGCGTGAGTGTGTGTGCGTGTGTGTGTGCGCGCATGTGTGCGCGTATGTCTGTCTTGTTTGTTGTGTTGTGTGTTGTGTGTGTGGTGTGTGATGTGTGTATTGTGCGTTGTGTGTTGTTTGTCTGTGACTATATCTGTTTCTGTGTCTGTGTGTGGTGTGTGCATGTGTGTTGTGTGTGCGTGCGTGCGTGCGTGCGTGCGTGCCTGCGTGTGTGTACTGTATGTGAGCTCCGCAAGCTATCTTTTTCTCCCGTGTCCTGCGCAGGACCGGCTCTGTGGCCGTGCAAGATTAGTCTGTCTCTCTGTTTCTCTGTCTGTCTGCGCCATGGTGGCGCACCGCCCCTGCGCCCCTGTTTGGACCGCGCACGTGTGTCGTGGTCCGCGGCCCAACCTGCGCTACATCGTGACCCAGCCTCGGCCACCAGTTGCCAGCCTGGGCCTCCTGGGAAGCAACGCAGAATGACCAGTTTGCATTTGTGTACCAAAAAAACAATGCGCTGATGATGAATATCGCCAGCTTCCCCACAGAACGAAAGGGGACTCAACCATGCTAAGCTCCAGCCACGCAGGAGGAGGAAGAGAACCGTTGTCCAGTGGTGAGGCCTTCTGGAGCCTCTTGGGGCTGACCAGCAAATAAGAAGAACAGAACCGGCATGAACATAAACTTATCAGGGTCCGCGCGGATGTCTTGGATCTGCGCTGGACCCCCCTCCCGGGCGCGCGGAGCGCGCCAGCGGCGGCGTCCGAGGCGCTGCCAGGGAGGCCCGGCGCAGATCCAAGAAACCCACGCGGCAATCCCAAATGGTGTGTTTAGGTCACTTCATATTCCTCGACAGAGTAGGTGGCGACAGCCGAAGCCTACCCCACCTGCCATCGATCCTCCCGAAGCGATGGGAGGCGGGGGTAGGGTGCGGATTTCGCCACGCTCGACGAACTCGTACCCAACCCCCGCCGCCCATCGAGTTGACTGAATCGTTGATCGGCGAAGGTGCTGGTCCCCTGGTGGTTTTCGGGTCATAACTCAAGCCTCTGGCGGCCGTTCGGGACGATCCGGGCGCCCCCGGAACGCTCTCGGCGAGGCGCAGCCGCTGAAGGCATCCCGAGGCTGGAAAGCCGCTGGAAGCTGACGCAGACGCCGAGAACCTCGAACCTCGAACCTCGGCGAGGGCAGGCGTCGCACTTCGCCGCCGCCAGGGAGGGGCTCGAGGCGCGCTCGGAGGCCCATCCTCCCTGGCGGGCCCTCGCGCGGGGGGCGCGCGGCGCCTCTCTTCGTCCACGGGCAGCTTGCTGGCCGCCTCGATCTCGGCCTGGCGGTCGCACGGGTACTCCTCGCAGGGAGGCCACGGGGGCGCGGTGGCGCCCACCAGCCGCGGCCACGGCCCGCTGCGGCCGCCGCGGCGGCGGTCGCCCGCGCGGCCCGCTGCGGGCCGCCGCCCTCGCCGCCGCCGCCGCCGCGGCGGCAGCCCCATCGGCGACGCGGCGGCGGCCGCCAGTGCCGCCGCGCCGCGGTCGGCACTGCCGCCGCAGCCGCCGTCGGACGGCGTGGCAGCCGAAGAGCGGGCGGAGGAGGAGGAGGAGGAGGAGGAGGAGGAGGAGGAGGAGGAGGAAAAGGAGGAGGAGGAGGAGGAGGAGGAGGGGGGGGGAAGAGGAAGAGGAGGAGGAGGACGTTGCCTGCTGCTCCCTCTCCTCCTGCCCCTCCCTCCCTCCAACTCGCTCGCACGCTACCTAAGGGCAAAGGCGGTCCGACGCCCGTGCTTGAATGAAGGAGAAGGCGAAGACAGTACCCCCTGACAGGCACATGCAACAAATAGGAAGGCTGACACGAGGAGTTCAGTAGGTCGATCCACACACCGTCCCAGAAGCAGCGGCACGAACAAGTACACTGGACGCGACCCTCCTCCTCCTCCTGCTCCTTTGGGGAACCGAAAGGTACCGATACCGCTGCTCCCCCGACCTCTCCCCAGGTGCGTTCTGACCAAGATTTCGCGGCGAATCCAGAGGTGGCGACGAGGGCCTCCCAGGAGGCCAAAATAGGGGAAAACGGGCAAAGGGTAGTGGTATCGGCTCCTTTTCCTCATCCGACTCCTCCTCCTCCTCCTCCTCCAGTCGGGATTCCAAAAGCACTACTGAAGAACTGCGGCCTCGGCACCGCAGCCCAACACGTCGGCCCCTGAGGGCAGACGAGAACCGAGAAGCCCGAGACCAGCGGGGGCCGTGACCCAGGGATCCCCCTTGGTCGGCCACAGGGGAAGTAGTGGGCAAGAGCTCCTCCTCCTCCTCCTCCTCTTCCTCCTCCTACTCCTCCTACTCCTCCACGTCCACCTCCACCTCCTCCTCATCATCATCACCCTCCTCCTCCTCCTCCTCCTCCTCCTCCTCCTCCTCCTCCTCCTCCTCCCCCTCCTCCTCCTCCTCCTCCTCCTCCTCCTCCTCCTCCGCCTTCTACCCCTCCTCCTCCTCAACCTGTCCCTCTCCTCCTCCTCCTCCTCCTCCTCCCTCCTCGTCTTCCCCTCCTCCTCCCCCTCCTCCTCCCATTGTCCTCCACCTCCTCCTCCTCCTCCTCTCCTCCTCCTCCTCCTCCTCCTCCTCCTCCTCCTCCTCCTCCTCCTCCCTCCTCCTCCTCCCTCCTCCATCTCCTCCCCATCCTTCGCCTCCTCATCCTCCTCCTCCTCCGCATCATCATCATCATCATCGTCCTCCTCCTCCTCCTCAACCTCCTCCCCCTCTCCTCCTCCCTCCTCCTCCTCCTCCTCCTCCTCCTCCTCCTCCTCCTCGTCTTCCCCCTCCACCTCCCCCTCCTCCTCGCCATTCTCCTGCACCTCCTCCGACTCCTCCTCCTCCTCCTCCACCTCCTCCTCCAACTTCGCCTCCTCCTCCACCTCCTCCTCCAACTTCGCCTCCTCCTCCTCCTCCTCCTCCTCCTCCTCCTCCCTCCTCCTCCTCCTCTCCTCCTCCTCCTCCTCCTCCTCCTCCTCCTCCTCCTCCTCCTCCTCCTCCTCCTCTTCCTCCCCCTCCTCCTCCTCATCCTCCTCCTCCTGTCCTCCTCCTCCTCCTCCTCCGCCTCCTCCTCCTCCTCCTCCTCCTCCTCCTCCTCCTCCTCCTCCTCCTCCTCCGCATCATCATCATGTTCATCATCATCATCACAATCAATCAATCATCATCATCATCATCCTCATCATCATCATCATCATCATCATCATCATCATCAGCATCATCAGCATCAGCATCAGCATCAGCATCAGCATCAGCATCAGCATCATCAGCATCAGCAGCATCATCATCGTCATCATCAGCATCAGCATCAGCATCAGCATCTGCGTCAGCATCAGCATCAGCATCATCATCATCATCATCAGCAGCAGCAGAATCCTCAGCATCCACATCATCCTCATCATCCTCATCATCATCATCAGCATCATCGTCATCATCATCATAATCAGCATCATCATTATCAACAACATCATCATCAGCAGCATCAGCATCAACAGCGTCGTCATCATCATCAGCAGCATCAGCATCATCATCATCATCATCATCATCATCATCATCATCATCATCATCATCATCCAAATCAACATCCTCATCCTCATCCTCATCCTCATCATCATCATCATCATCATCATCAACATCATCATCAGCAGCATCATCATCATCACCATCAGCGTCAGCATCAGCATCAGCATCAGCATCATCATCATCACCATCACTATCATCAGCATCAGCATCAGCATCATCATCATCATCATCAGCATCATCATGGTCATCATCATCAGCTGCATCATCATCAGCATCATCAGCATCGCCATCATCATCAGCAGAATCGGCATCATCATCAGCGTCAGCGGCATCATCATCGTTATCACCATCATCATCCTCATCATCCTCATCATCAGCATCATGATCGTCATCATCATCAGCATCAGCATCAGCATCAGCATCATCATCATCAGCCTCATCATCAGCATCATCATCAGCATCAGCATCATCATCAGCATAATCATCATCATGATCATCAGCAGCAGCACCATCATCATGATCATCAGCATCATCATCATCATCATCATCATCATCATCAAATGCATCATCATGAGCATCATCATCATAATCATCATCATCAACAACGGCATCATCATCATCATCATCATCATCATCCTCATCATCACCATCGTCATCATCATCATCATCATCATCATCATCATCATCATCATCAGTATACCCATCATCAGCAGAAGCAGCATCATCACCATTGTCATCAACATCATCGTCGTCAAAGTCATCGTCATCACCATCAACAGCATCGTCATCATCAGCATCATCAGCAGCATCAGCATCATCATCAGCAGCAGCATCACCATCATCATCATCGTCATCAGCAGCAGCAGCATCATGATCATCATCAGCATCATCAGCATCATCAGCAGCAGTATCAGCATCAGGATCAGCATCATCATCAGCATCAGCAGCATCATCATCAGAATCAGCACAGCATCATCCATCATCAGCCTTATCAGCATCATCAGCCGCATCCTGACCATACTCATCGTCATCATCATCGGCAGCATCATCACCAGCATCATCAACAACAAAAACAACAACAGCAACAGCAACTACAACAACAGTACCAACAATAACCTCATCATACCCCTCCTTCTCTTTCTCCTTCTCCCCCTTCGCCTCTTCCTCCTCCTCCCTCCTCCTCCTCCTCCTTCTCCTCATCCTCCTACTTCTCCTCCTCCTCCTCCTTCTCCTTCTCCTCCTCCTCATTTTCATCCTCCTCCTCCGTCTTATCCCCCTCCTCCTCCTCCTCCTCCTCACTCCTCCTCCTCCTCCATCCTCCTCCTCATCATCATCATCATCATCATCATCATCATCATCATCATCATCATCATCATCATCATCATCATCATCATCATCATCATCATCATCATCATCATCATCATCAGCATCAGCATCAGCATCAGCATCAGCATCATCATCATCACCACCACCACCATCACCATCACCATCATCATCATCATCATCATCACCATCACCATCACCATCACTATCATCATCACCATCATCATCATCATCATCATCATCATCATCATCATCATCATCATCATCATCATCATCATCATCATCATCATCATCATACTCCTCATACTCCTCATCTTCCTCCCTTCGACTCCGACTCCGACTCCGCCTCCGGTTCAGACTTCGACTCCACCGACTCCTCCGACTCCTCCGACTCCTCCGACTCCTCCGACTCCTACTCCTTCTCCTCTTCCTTCTCCTCTTCCTCCGCCTCCTCCTCCGCCTCCTCCTCCTCCTTCTCCTCCCCCTCCCCTCCCCCTCCCCCTCCCCCTCCTCCTCCCCTCCTCCTCCTCCTCCTCCTCCTCCTCCTCCTCCTCCTCGTCCTCCTCCTCCTCCTCGAGCCCTTATCCTTATACATACCTCCCCCTGTTGCACCATGTGGTCGGTCGAAAGGGCGGGCAGGGGGGCTCGCCTGAGACTTCCTCACCATTTGAGATCCCGAAGCATAACAACATGACAACAGTTTCACAAACGGAGGCCGGGTGGTTTTCAAAATGTGGCTCGCGCCTTAGCGCCGCGCACATTCGTGTTCAAAAGTTACAAGAGTTTCACGGATTGAGGGCGGGCGGTTTTAAAATGTGGCTCGCGCCTTAGCGCGGCGCACAGTCGTCTTAAAAAAGGGCGGTTCTTTTCAAAATGTGGCTCTCCTCTTAGCGACGCGCACAATCTCTTTGAAAAACTGCAAGCGTTTCACTGATTCTCATGGTCATAGTACCAGCAATGGTGTTTTCAAAAGGACTCAAAAATTGAGAGGGTACTAAAGTTACGTTGATTCGCGGTGTTGAAGTGCCAGAGACGGTATTCTGGCACGGTTCGCGATCGTCAAGGCGCAACAGTCAGGTCAATCCGTAGCGTTGGAGTCCCGAGAATGGTGTTTTGGTATGCTGCAGGGTCTTCAAACGGTTGTCTCCCAACGAGGCAGTTCCCTCAGTCGAAATGAACCCTTGTAGGGACCTATGAAGAGGGAGCTCGGAGGGAGTCAGTCCAACGTCGTCGATGAGTCTTGGGTTTACACTGGTCCTCCTCCTACTCCCCCTCCTCCTCCTCCTCCTCCTCCTCCTCCTCCTCCTCCTCCTCCTCCTCCTCCTCCTCCTCCTCCTCCTCCTCCCCTCCTCCTCCTCCTCCTCCTCCTCCTCCTCCTCTCCTCCTCCTCCTCCTCCTCCTCCTCCTCCTCCTCCTCCTCCTCCTCCTCCCTCCTCCTCCTCCTCACCCCCCCCCCTACTCCTCCCCCATCCCTTCTCCTCTCCTCCTCCTCCTCCTCCCTCTCCTCCTCCTCCGTCTCCCCCTCCTCCACCCTCCTGGTCCCCCTGGCCGACAGCACCGTTCTTCCATTCTCAGCTGGCAGATGGACAAATTGTGAGCCGACTTCAATCCAATCCTCCTGATCCCCCTCCACCCCGCCTCCTGATCCTCCTCCTCCTCATCCGCCTCCTCTTCCTCCTGCTCCTCCTCCCCCTCCTCCTCCTCCTCCTTCTCCTCCTCCTCCTAATCATCATCCTCCTCCCTGCAGTCATCATCATCATCATCATCATCATCATCATCATCATCATCATCATCATCATCATCATCATCATCATCATCATCATCATCATCATCATCGTCGTCATCGTCGTCATCATCATCAGCATCATCAGCATCATCAGCATCAGCATCATCATCAGCAGCAGCAGCATCAGCATCATCATCATCAGCATCAGCATCATCCTCCTCATCATCAGCATCAGCATCAGCATCATCCTCCTCCCTGCAGTCATCATCATCAGAATCATCATCATCATCAGCAGCATCAGCATCATCAACATCATCATAATCATAATCAGCAGCAACATCATCATCAGCACCATCATCATCGGCATCATAATCATAATCATCATCATCATCACCAATATCATCATCATCATCATCGTCATCATAATCATCATCTTCATCTTCATCATCATCATCATCATCATCATCATCATCATCGTCATCATAATCGTCAGCATCATCATCAGCAGCAGCATCATCATCAGCAGCAGCAACAGCAGCATCATCAGCATCATCAGCAGCATCAGAATAGGCAGCAGCAGCGGCATCATCAGCACCATCATCATCATCACCAGCATCATCATCATCATCATCATCATCCAAATCAACATCATCATCATCGCAATCGTCAACATCATCATCATCATCATCATCATCATCATCCTCATCATCATCATCATAATCATCATCATCAGCATCATCATCGTCATCATAATCATCAGCATCATCGGCATCATCATCATCATCAGCAGCAGCATCATCATCGCAGCAGCAGCGGCAGCAGCATCATCGTCATCGCCATCATCGCCGTACTCATCATCGTCATCATCATCATCATCATCAACATCATCATCAACAGCATAAGCAGCTTCATCAGCAGCATCAGCATCATCGCCATCATCATCAGCAGCAGCATGGTCATCATCAGCATCATCATCATCAGCATCATCATGATCATCAGCATCATCAGCATCATTATCAGAAGCAGCATCATTAACATCGGCAACAACAACAGTAGCATCATCAACACCATCATCACCATCATCATCATCGTCAACATCATCATCAACAGCATCAGCATCATCATCAGCATCGTCACCAGAATCAGCATCATCATCATCATCAGCATGAACAACGTCATCATCAGTGGCATCAGCATCAGCATCACCATCATATGCAGCATCAGCAGCAACATCATCATCAGCATAAGTATCAGCATCATCCTCATCATCATCAGCATCATCACCGTCGTCGTCGTCATCATCATCAGCAGCAGTATCAGCACAATCATCGTCGTCATCAGCAGAAGCAGCAGTAGCAGCGGCAGCGGCAGCGGCAACAGCAGCACCATCACTCACCACCACTGCCACCACGAATATCACCACCACCACCATCATCCTCGTCATCATCATCATCATCATCATCTTCATCACAATCATATTCATCCTCATCAGCCCCAGCATCATCATCAGCATCATCATCTTCATCATCATCATCATCATCTTCCTCATCATCATCATCAGCATCATCATCTTCATCATCATCATCATCATCATCATCATTATCATCATCATTATCATGATCGTCTTCCTCCCCCTCCTCCTTCTCCTCGTCGTCAGCATTATCATCACCACCACCACCATCATCATCATAATCGTCATCAGTCATCATCATCAGCACCATCATCATCGTCATCATCATCGTCATCGTCATCGTCATTGTCATCGTCATCATCTCATGAGCAGCAATAGCAGCAGCATCATCATGATCCTCTTTTCCATTCCCTCCTCCAGTCGGGGATGTCTCTTCCACTGAATTCAAAGCGTGCACACGTCCAGGCTAGCACTTGGTCCAGTATTCGCAGTCACTGCTGAATGACCAATGCTCATCATCCCCTCCCTTGTGGTCAACGCACCGCTCTGGGGTCTCCCAAACCGAGGAGGGAGTAGGGATCGATGAGGAATTGAGGATCGAGGGATCAAGGGCCGAGGAGTTTGGAGGATTCAAAGACCTTCGATCCTCAACCCTCCTCGATCCTCGATACTCCTCGACCGTCCTTTACTCCCATGGTTCCAGGCTCGAGTATTCGAGATGCTTGCCCAGAGTCCCAAACCCGCGATGGAGAAAGAGAAACCGGCATAGGCACGAACTGTCCGAGGTCCGCGCGGACTCCTTGGGTTGACGCTGGCCCCCCCCCATCGAAAAAGGAGGGCGCCGGATGTGCCGCCAGCTGTGTCTCACGCCGATGCGGGAAACGAAACCCGAGCGGACCTTCAGACGTGTATGCTGTGTACGCTGGTGTTCTTCTCCGGCGCAACAGGGAGGAAGAGAGATAGAGACAGAGACAGAGAGAGAGGACAAAAGAGAGAGAGAGGGAGAGAATGAGAGAATGAGGGAATGAGAGAGAATGACAGAGAATGAGACAGAGAGAGAGGGAGCAAGAGGAGGGATACGGTGAGGACCAAAAACAAACAGACAGACAGACAAGACAGCAGGGCAGAGACAGAGACAGAGGCTGAGGCAGCGTTGGCCCACGGCGGGGCCCCACGCGGCCCGGGGGGCGGGCCCCAGAGGCCACCCCCCGCGGGGGCCTCCGCGAGCTCCAGCATCCTTCTCCGCAGATGCTCGCTGGGGTTCACCCACTGCCAGCCGCCCTCCTGCGGTCGGGCGCCGGACAGCGGGGGTCGGCCATGCGCCCAAGCGATCTTGCATTGGCGCGCGCTGGGTGGGGCAGGAGTTGTGCGCGGTGTGGCGGCGGAGGGTGGTGGGTGTGGTAGTCGGGGAGGGGGTGTGGGAGAGGGGGGGCGTGCGAAGCATCGGAGGCGGCAGTGACACAGACGAAGAACGGCAAGGGACGATCCACCCCCCCTCTTGAAAAAGAACCCAACCAAAAAAACTCGGTCGCTGGCTACGGACTGGCGGCCTCGATGGCGACGACGACGACGATGACAGCGCTGACGACGACGACGACCACGAAGCGGGAACATGTCTGAATAGTCTCCTTCCCAACGGGGCGCTGCGACCCCCCCCCTCCCCGGGCATGTCTTGATCTTTTGGTCGCACTTCCAGAGGCGATGCCACGGGCGAACAGCCCAGGGATGCGCACTGCATGCGTTCGCCGGCCAGCCTCGCCGAAGATGCAGATCGGCGAGGCGCCCAGGGGGAGAAGGCGGAGGGGGCCGGCCCTCTCGGGAGGCGACGGGTCCTCTCGGGAGCCCTCGTGCCTTCGGAGAAGCCGTCTGCGTCTTCGGAGAAGGCTCAGGAGGCTCCTCAGAAGGCGATGGGGGCTTCCGAGAAGCCCCACAACCTTCGGAGAAGGCCAGTCCTATCTGCCTTCCCCCCCGGGCGGGCCGCCGAATGGACCATCGGCGCCCCTGGATACATGCATTGATCCCCCCTGGGCCGTTCGCTCCTATATTCAGATCAATCCCCACCCCTTGTCGAGTAAACCTTTCCCGCGCCAGCCAAGCTGCCTCCCGAGGTGGGAATCAGTGCCGTTATCGTCGGGCTCCATGGCCCCTCTCCCCACCTGCATGCAGCAGGCCGGTGCCGTTCAGGAACCCTCCTCCTCCTCCTCGCCCTCCTCCTCCTCCTCCTCATCCCCCCTCCTCCTCTTCCTCCTCCTCCTTCTCCTCCTCGTCCTCCTCCTCCCCCAGGCCCTTCCTCCTTATGAATAACTTCTCCCTGTCGCACCCCGAGGCCAGTTGGAAGGGCGGGCCGGGCGTTTCGCCTGAGACTTCCTCAGTATGTACGAGCCTCAAGCTGAAAAACTGGCAACAGTTTTACAGATGGAGGGCAGGTCGTTTCCAAAATGCGGCTCTCGCCTTAGCGCCGCGCACGTTCGTTTCAACAATTTGCAAGGGCTTCGCGGATTGAGGGCGGGACGTTTTCAAACTGTGTCTCTCGCCTTAGCGCCTCAAAAATTACAGCAAAAAATGGAGGCGGCCCGTTTTCAAAATATGATTCTCGCCTTAGCGCCTCGCACATTCGTTTTGAAACGTGGCAAGAGTATCACAGATTGGGGGCGGCTCGTTTTCAAAGTGTGGTTCTCGCCTCAGGGCCACGCACATTCGTGTTAAAAACTCAC